GTTTGATTTTGTAATAGAATGACCAATAACTGTTTCATTGTTTAATGAATTGAGATTGCATAAACTGCAGGGATTTTGAAATCTCAGAATATCAGGGTTTCTGAATTTTCATCCAACATGATGCCTTTTCCCTTTTTTTTTATAGAAAAACGGTGTTTTCTTAAATTTCCCCTTTCTTCATTCTTTAGGAAACAGGAACAATTCTGCCTATTTTTTCAAAAAGGTGGTTCTCCACAGGGTTGAAGCTTTCAAAAGGACTGTCTATATGTGGATGAAGAGGTTTTTTTTTAACTTTTTTTGGGATTCCTTGGGACACAGTGGTTAGATTCTATAGAGGCCTGGGACTGGCCTATCAAGCTGCACTAAAAGACATCACAGCCTGAACAGGAAGCATCCCAATTGGGGAAGGGGGTGGGAACTCAGGGATTCCAAGTCCTTGATGCTTCCTGTGTCTTGCTGTTTACTTTTGTCCATTTGGAAGTTCTGAAAGTAAATAATTTTGTTGGCATGATGAACCCCCAGCATCCACCTTAGGCCAATCCTGAAACTGCATGGCCCTCACCAAGACAAGGACAGGGAATCCCTCAGCAAACACTGAAACCCCTCTCAAGAGGATTTCCTTAGACCACCTAAACTTCATCTCCCTCCACATAGGGATATCCTAATTTCTTTAGAAGGTTTCAGAAGGAGGTATATGAATCCTAATTGGGAAATTTCAGTGGTGGCACTGATTTTCTGAGACGTGTCATCCAATGGTTTTGTGCTTGAAGTGAAATATGCAATTCGGATATTGTCATGACTGCCATGCTGTGTTCTGTTGTTCAGCACTCAGTTCTTCACAGAGAATTGTATAGCATTTGTTCAGTATTTGATGTTGGAACGTGCGCAGTATGAATGATCATCAAAATTGATGCTTTAGGCTAGTCTGAATTGGAGTGATACTTCTTACAAGGGGAAAATAAATTTTGGATTCATGTTCAAATCCTGCTTTAAGGAGCATGATTGCGTATGAAGCAGTCGTGGCCGAGTGGTTAAGGCGTCTGACTCGAAATCAGATTCCCTCTGGGAGCGTAGGTTCGAATCCTACCGGCTGCGTTCAATTTTTCATAAAATTCAATTGATTGAAAATTGCTTCTTGCGACCCCCCTCTCCTAAGCAGCATTACCGTACTTCAGCATACAAGTTTTTGGGTAGGTGCAATATATTTCAGTTGAATATCGTCCAACTGCATCAAAATTCAACCATTTACCAATTAATCCAGTTCCATCCTTCTGGTTTTCATTCAGCATTTATTGTGAACATAGCTTTCATTTTGAGAAAGTTTGTGATTGGAAAAGACACTGTTTTTGAATGGAATTCCTTGAGAATGAGTTCAACTCCAATTAAAAAAAAATATAATGATCCATCATCCTTTCCTTAAAAAAAAAAACATTAATCAGAATTTTGCTGTCCAATACAAGAGACCCCCAGATGTGGACCTAACTGGTGCATCAAGAGTGTCCCTAAGTTGAGTCTTGTTTTCCCATAAAATTACATTATATAAATTTTAATTGGTTTTTTCCAAATTCCAAGAAAAAAATTTTGTTTGCCACTTGAATTTTATTCACTGACTATATCTTTTCAACCCAGCAACAATAAAGAACATTTGGAACATTGAATAATATACCACTCTACAGTTCATTGAAATATTGGCATCTGTAAACATCATGACATCCAAGTCACAAAAAGAGAATAATGAAGTCCCTCTGTGCTGCAGGTAATTTCTTTTTCAATTAGCTGAATGGATTGGAAAGTGATTGTAAAAATACCGAGGAATTTTTTCTTACATAGATCTTAGGTTGGAAATATTGCATCTGTTTCTTGAAATTAAGCCTACTAAAAGTCAAATTTCCTAAAATGTATTGGCAATTTCATCATGCAGTGTCCCCATGTCTAGGTGTCTGCATGTGGGGGTCTCACTGTATTCTGCTCAGGTGTAAGTCTGTTGTAATCAAGTTGATTCTACTTTTCATTCCAGACATGGATTACTAAAAATGATTTTCCCTCGATGGAACTTTCTCACAAGATAGTTTCCAGTCAGTCCCAGGTTGATCCTTGTCTACTTTTCTTCCAAAGTTATGCATGACTTTGTTGATACCTGAGGAGCTCTCAACATCTACTCCAATAGGTATAATTGCTGTTCAGTATCAGCAGGACTACTTATTGGACATTCCTTGTGCTGGGAGGTGATGAATTCATGTAAATGAATCTCTCCACCATACCTTGGTATATTTGTGCATTGAACATCTCTTTATGATGGATGGAAGTGTATTTTCTGCAATTTAGCTTCCATCATGAAAAGATAATGAGTAGAAAACTCAAATGACATTCCAATAATGGTAGATGCTAGGTTTCTTTTTTAAAAGCTGGGGGTGCCCATTCAGCAACACTTGGGTAATGGTTAGTAAAATTAATGAAATCATATAACTAAATAATACCCAAGAAACTACCCTACCCTACACTACATCCCACCCTACCCTACACTAAAACTTACTCTACCCTAAAATACCACCTACCCTACCCTACACTAAAATGCTAGGTTCCTTTTTTATACACTCATCCCTGCCTTGGATTTATGCAAAAATTCAAAGAGAAAATACACCTTTTCAGTGGGGTTTAGTGAAAGGTATATTTCAGCATTTTTGCCTGTCATTATTTTTTTTCAAACCACACATACAAGTGAATTTTTCAAAATGAGAAATTTGTTTTGTGGCTTCATTGACTAAATTCTTTAGTGAATATCTTTTTGGAAAAAGAAATTCTCCACAAAAATGTTTTCAGCCCCATCAGGTCATACGTTTTGTTTTGGTCTTATATTTTGAAGAAAGATAAGGGAAGAGTTATAGTAAGCTTTTTACATAAGTGCAATATTTGAATTTCTTTGCTGTATTTTTCTGATCAGATTACCCGTTTATATACTCTTATCATGTAACATTCGAATTAATGAAAAGGTCATTTTCAAGTTTTTAAAATTTACTTTTTTACATAATATTTTTTTGATGTGAGAAATTCTTCAGCTCAAAGCTGAGAAGCCAGCAATGAATAAATTGACAGAATTGAATAAAATCCCATTGTCCTTATTGTACTTGAATGGGTCATCTTCACTCTTGAACTTCAGCTGGATTTTCAAAAACCATTTTTAGCTTAAAGTTCAATTATTTACTTTAACAATTTTCCTGCCTCTAGGTTTATTTTGGTTTCATTAAATACTGTACTTTCATTCATAGCTGGTTTTAACTCAAACATGTGTTGTACAACATCCTTTTTTATGACAAATTTATCCAGAAATAATGTGTTTTTTTCCTGAAAATCAGCTCATTCTTGTCTACTGTTACACTAGACTTTTTCTGTTGAGAGAATATGACACATACTTTTAAATCATAACTCTAAAATAAGAGAAAACAAATTAATCCAACATGCAAATCAAGATTAGCATTTGCCAAATCCATTTTTTTGGTTGAATTTGTTGTCCGTAGACGACCAAGGTAAAATAAAATATGCAAGTCCAATAAAAAATATATACCTCAAATATACTCAGTTCACAAATATTTGTACAATCACACAAACATAAAAATAGAGAGCTTCAAGAGAGTCTTGCTAAAACGTTCCGCAAGTCTCTCTGAGAAATAACCACAAATGACTCTAGATTAAATCTGGAGAAATATGTGGGAAGGAAGGTATATTTATACCTTCCTGGAAACATAAAATATAAAGGCCAAATATTTGCCTAGATTGAGGAACTGCAGGTTCCCTGAACACTTGATGAATATATATATCCAGGTATATATTATAAATATAAATAACAAATACACTTTGCAAATTCAAAGGAATTGGCTTCTTCTAAATTGGCAGTTTAGAAGATGGCAGTGCAGGTGGTTTGTCACTGTTGACAAACAGCAAGTTGAAAAAGAGAAATGCTCAATAATGACTGTCACTCATTAATGTGGGCTGACATGAGAGAGGGGGAACCAAAACAAAAGGGAACAGCTGCAAGGAAACAGATATCTTGTAGAGAAGGATCTCCTCCCATATAAGGAGAAAAGAAAATAATCGCAATTTGGTTTCTGGGTTACAAATTTTAAATACTCAAGAAGTTATACAGTGAGACCCCAACCTGCAGACAATTCAACACGGGGACACCTATTTCATCATAAACATTAATAAAAAAGGCCAGACATGAGGACACTGACTCCACATAGGGACATTTTGTGATACACTTGCAAATACATTCCTGGCCAAATTGCAAGAAACAGATATTTCAAACCCAAAAAAAATTGGTGTAAGAAAAGTTCTTGGGTATTTCTCTCACCAATTTACCATCCCTTTAGCTAATTAAAAAATAATAACCTCCAGCATAGAGGGACGTCCTCCTCTCTTTTTCACTTGAATGTTACTTTTCACAGAGAATGCCAACAATTCTATGTACTCTACACAGAATTCAATTCTCAAAATTTCCATATTGTGTTGAAATAAATTGACTGGAATCAGTTTAAATTGGGAGACAATTTTCATTTTCATGGAATTATGGTGAGTTTTTTGTACATAAAATACCAATTGAAAATTATATGATGAAAGTCTAAGAGAAAATGAGACTTGACTTGGGGACATTTCAACTTGGGGACACTCTTGATGCACCAATTATGTCCACATCTTGGGGTCTCACTGTAATTCTTAATAGTAATCATCATCACCAGGATAATTTTTCCTGAACCACTGCATTCTTTCATCCAAGGAATTGCTTCCATGTGAGGTTCAGTTTACCTTGAAAAACAGCATGAATAATTATTTGGAAAGATATGCATCCCCTGTTATTAGTTATTATGCATAAAGCTTTTGAGCAAATAACATGCACTTCTGATAAGAAAGTCTATGGGCTGACTCACATTCAGTTGCGCAACAATTCCATTTATCGAGAAATTTCTAATCTATTAAACACGCTGATAAATTCGCAGCTTTTCGCTAAAATATGACGAGCAAAAATCGCACAATTAGAAATATGGTATATTCAAGTGCTTGCATAAGTTCTTATTGCCACAGATAAGGTTTCTGTGCTACATATTTAAAGGAATTTGGCTCTTGAATCGCACACACAAGAGTTTAATTTGAGAGCAGAGTAAGGAGTTGACAATTTCAACCAAATTAAATATGGGAAAACTTGCGCTAGGCCTTCTTTTGGCTCTTGGGTTTGCAGCGACATCTGCCCTATCCTTGCCCAAGTACAGAATCAGCCCCAGGGCATGTCCTAGCTTCACCACCAAGCCTGATTTTGAAGTTGTTCCAGTGAGTATATATCTTCCAGTTGATGATGAAATTTGTATGCTTTGGCAAGTAAATCCATTTCAAGATATTGATGATGATAAATAAGTTTTTGAAAATAATTCATTTTGTGATACATTTTTCATGCTGGAGAATTTTTCATAAATGAGGGCAGTGGGCATGTTGTAATTTTCTTGCAAAAGTTACACTACCTTCTTGTGGTTACAGTACATTTTAATTACAATTACAGTGAGACCCCAAGATGCAGACATAATTGGTGCATCAAGAGTGTCCCCAAGTTAAAATGTCCCCAAGTCAAGTCTCATTTTCTCTTAGATTTCCATTATATAATTTTTAATTGGTATTTTATGTACAAAAAACTCACCATAATTCCATGAAAATGAAAATTGTCTCCCAATTTAAACTGATTCAAGTCAATTTATTTCAACACAATTTGGAAATTTTGAGAGTTGAATTCTGTGTAGAGTACATAGAAATGTTGGCATTCTCTGTGAAAAGTGACATTCAAGTGAAAAAGAGAGGAGGAAGTCCCTCTATGCTGGAGGTTATTATTTTTTAATTAGCTAGAGGGATGGTAAATTGGTGAAAGAAATACCCAAGATCTTTTCTTACACCAATTTTTTGGGTTTGAAATATCTGTTTCTTGTAATTTGGCCTGGAATGTATTTGCAAATTTATCACAAAATGTCCCTATGTAAAGTCAGTTTCTTCATGTCAGGCCTTCTTGATTACTTTTTTAATGGGAAAATAAGTGTCCCTAGGTCAAATTGTCTGCAAGTCTAGGTGTCCTCATGTGGGGGTCTCACTGTATATAGAAAATTGCGCAGCTGCTTTTTCTTCTGCAGCTCTAGTTGTAGCTTAGAAATAAAAGTGTATTTTCTACTGGGAATAAAATGCAGGTGTTCACCAGAATTTCAACTTTTCTTCAATTTCAGTACCTTGGTGAGTGGTTTGAGCAAAAGACTTTCCCTTCACCCTTCCAAGATCATTTCTCCTGCGTCAGGGCACGCTATTCTCCCCTGGGTAAGTTTGCCATCTTTCAAAAATATTTTGCCCCATTTAATCCCAAAGAAATTATTTACAAAAACAAAAAAAAACAGATGATGGCACTGTGGAAGTGTACAACGTTGCAACCAACTTGGATGGTGAACCTGAAGTCATTCTTGGCTATGCTTACCAAGCAAATCCAGAAGCAGAACCTGGCATGCTAAGTGTTGTCTTTCCAGGCAGTAAGTTGGAAATCTGTGTGTAAAGTTTTTCTAATTTTTAAATTCGACTGAAAAGTATTCAAAATTGCGTGGTGTAAAGAAAGCTAAGTTATCATGATACATTTCTGATTGGGTCCATAGTTGTTCAAAATAGTCTGAATTGTTAAAATAATTTATTCCAAGCATTTGAGTATCAGTTTTCCACTTGATTGGTTCATTTATTTTATATTCACAGATCTTAATTTTATTGACAAAAAGGCAGAGAAAATTTAATCTCTGTGTGTATGATTATTTTAGCAATTCAAATCTAAAAACAATTCTTGATTCTCATCAATAAAATTCAATTCAGGTGTTCTTCTCTTTTTTATTCACCAGTTTGACTCAAAAGCCTGAAAAATACAATGAGACCTCTAGATGTGGACATAATGGGTGCATCAGGAGTGTCCCTAAGTTGAGTCTTGTTTTCCAGTATACTTGCATTATATATTTTTTAATTGGTGTTTTTTGGAAGAAAGCATCTGTAAAAATAACATCCAAGTCACAGAGAGAGAATGAAGTTCATCTGTGCTAAAGGTAATTTTTTGAAGTTAGCTGAATGGATGGGAAAAGTACCAAAACATTTTTCTTGCATAGTTCTTAGGGTTGGAAATATCTGTTTCTTGCTATTAATCCTAAAAAAATCAATTTTCCTAAAATTAATTGTCAACTTTATCAAGCAATGTCCTCATGTCCAGTCAGTGTCCCTATGTTGGGCCTTTTTGTCCCTATGTCAAATTGTCCCCAAGTCAAGGTGTCTGCATGTGGGGGTCTTACTGTATAATTGTGCTCATTATAGTCTCTTAAAAAATCTTTAAAGCAACTGGATATTTTTGGATTCAGTGGGACTCTCACAAAAAATGTAAAAAAAAAATCAGAGAGAAAAAAAGAAATTTTTGAAAGCGTCTATGAATAAATTATTGCGCATCCGAAAATCACTTGAACAGAATTTAAAGAAAAAATAAAACCCGTAAAATTTGCCTGAGGCCAGGTTTATGGCGTTATTGCAGGGGTATAAATAATGCTGGGGGCGTTTCATTTGTACAGCACCCGGAGGGATGTATGCAGTGCTGGACACGGATTACGTGAATTATGCAGCCGTGTACTCCTGCCAAGACCTTGGGCCTCTGTACTTGGAATTTGCATGGGTTCTGGCTCGAGAGGTCAATGCCACGCAAGAGGTCGTTGACGAGGCCCTGTCGAAATTCGAGCAATTCCAAATCGACATCAGCAAGTTTTACGACACTCAACACCCCGCGAGCTGTGTTTATGACCCCTGAATGTTTTTTTTTTCTCTCGAATGTATATCTCTTTTTTTTTCTAGCCACTGATGACATTTGTTTTTCTGTCAAGTGTGACTGCTGAAAGCGAAAATGAATGAATTATGTGACGAGTCTGTCGTTCTGATGACAATAGTCTCATTTCCAATACATTTGAATGTTCATCAGTGGTCATTAAACTTCGTGAAAAAAAAACATTTTGAAATCCAGTTTTCATGATGGACCTGGAAGAATGCTCTGAGGGCCATTGTGAATTTGTATTGCATAAAAGTTCTGTAGCCAAGATTTCTGAGCCTTTTTCATTCAATTGATCAACAAAATATCTTCCAGGAAAAACTGCAGCTACAGTGTTGAAATTATTTTTGCAGTCTATTGATGCTTAGCTAGATTGAAGAAAACCCATTAAATTAATAATGAGAGTGTGTTTCGTTATTTTAATTCCCTTTAAATTTAATTCAAAAAGATGACTAAAGATACAATTTTGGGAATGTTAAGAATGTCTTCCTCTCAAGGTTCTTAACTCTGTGATCACAGAGGAGTGTTTTCTCTGACAATGCAAGACTTATGAAAAATAACAGACAGACTTTCCAACAAAAATTTTATTTGATCAGTTTGAAAACTCAAAATACCAAGACATTGCATCTGGAGGGAAGCCTGAACAGAACTCTGACTCCTTTCTGAGGATTTGGTGATCAACTGACTTTAGCTCATTGAGGCTGGGGTTTATATACTTCAAAAATAAAGGTGCCTAGATTTGGGACAAGAGTTTAATGACATGCAGTTCCATGTGCTTTTGAAATAGGGTGTGGAGAGAGTGCTTGAACTGAGGTCAGCAGTTTCACCATTCAGGGGGTTAAAGATTTATGATTCCATGATAGTCATCTCTTGAGTCAATGTTTCAAGTAACACATAGGCAGACAGCAGAGATTTTATGGTTGAATGTATTTTAAAATGCATGAGCTGACTTTTGAGGAATGGAGCACCACAAAAGGTACTGGTGAGAAAAGCTCACCACAATTGGTTTTACAGAATGTTGCAGAGGGGCATTATTTGAGGTGTAAAAAAGTCCAATTTGTGACAGTTTATTCAAAAAATTCACAGACAAGACATTTTGGCCATGCTTACACCTTATATTACACATACAGTACATAGCCTTTGCAAAGTGCTGTTGTTTTGAGGAATATCCTAATTTAAATGATCTTTCAGACAAATTTTGAAGGGTAGACAATTGATAGTATTGCAAAAATACCACTTCAGCAACAAACATAATTTTAGATCCTATCTACAATTTTTGAAATCTGGTTTTTTACAGAACTTGCTTTCATCACGCTTCATCAGGAAGGGTCTTTAAAATCCCAACTTCAGAGTATCTAGTATGTATACATGCAGCAAAACATTTGCCTTGTTTTTGCTTCTTAAAAAAATAAACAGGAATGATCAAGTTGTAGATGGACCCTGAATCTTTCTGCATGAACTGAAGACTTTGCTTCAGTCAATATTCTGAAAGCTTTATTTTGAAATGGAATGAGTTGTTGCTTGCTGACACAGCAAGAATACAAGGAACATTTGCCAAACATGTGCCAAAATTATTTTGCGCATTCTTCTTTGGAAAAAAATAGACCAGGATTTGAGGCCAGTGTGACAAGTTCAGATGAAAAAAAAAGTTGTGGGACTTGTGCTCAAAACTTTGTGGGAAAGACTGCAAAATTTCTGATTTGTCAGTGCTCACAATGGCATCAGTGAAAGTCTGGATCACTTAATCTCCAGTCTTAGATTTGTCATCAGTAAACTTGCTGGAGTTTGCAGTTTTTTTATTTGAGTCAGAAACCAGAATAATCTGGGTTTTGCTTTGAAAGTGCAGCATTTTTGGGGAATCCCTTTGACGCTTTCTAATGAAAAAATTATATTTTTCATACTCTCTTGTTATCCCCTTATTGGGAATAACTGAGAAAGTTACCTTTATCTCAGATTATATCAATCGTGGATAGATTCGAGTAAGTCTACTTTTAGAGGAATAGATAAAGAAGTATGTAAGCAAGTACTTTCAAGTACAGAAATAGTCTTTATTATTACTGCGTAATAATACCACACAACACAATCCAGAGACACCAGCAAACACAGAGGATTATACCTGCAAGTACTTTCAAGTACAGAAATAGTCTTTATTATTACTGCATAATAATACCACACAACACAATCCAGAGACACCAGCAAACACAGAGGATTACACCAGAAGGGTCACTTCACAAGTCAATGCACAACTGCATGCAACTGCCGTGCTAATCCTGGATTTGACCAGGGTTTATATACTGCCCAAATCCGGGAAGGGGAAGATGGAAAGTTCTGGAAACTGCGCAGTTCCGATCACGTGATTGTACACGTGCTTTGGGAATAACCGCAGAGGGGGGAATCCACAAGTTCGTGACCAATTAAACTGGTACATGCGTGCATTGTATCTGGGTCAAGAGGGGCGCGCCTGTCAGTGATTAATTGGTTCTTGGAATCGGAAGGAGTCCAGAGATAATTATAATATTATACATTAATATTCTAATTTTATTATCTCATCCTTTTCTCAGTCTTTCTCTTTCTTTCTCGCCGATGTGCAAGCGCTGCCTTTTGGCGAGCTCTTGAGAGAACGCATGCGCCTCTCGAGAAACGCAGGCGCGTTTCACAGCGAATTATTATCGGGGAATTTCCACCGATAACAATCACCCGGCACAAACAAGAAAAAGCTCGCTTTTTCTTCATTCAAAATAATCTGACATCCACTCCAAATGGCTTGACAGATTTTTTGAACCTTGATAATTATTTGCGAGTTTTTCATGTGCTTCTGTGATTTTTTGGAAGGAGATGTGAAATTTTCTTTCCTGAGGGAAGGATGGATTTTGATCTCTCATTTTGCTTCAAAAATTCATCAAGAAAATATCTCCTTTCAAAACCAAAAATGTTTCATGAAGTGGGAATTCTTTCAACTCTGGTTGTTATTGTTACTTCACATTCCAATTGTTATGTGTTGGACAACATTTGGTGGTGTTCTGATTTATGTGGGGCAGACGTTTCTGATTCTGCTAGCGTGAATGGGATAATTCATTTTGCGGGGGACAAAGCAAATTTGGACTGAGTGCAAAAAAATGGGATAACAGTGAGTTTCACTGAAACAAAAACACAAAACATATTTCTTGAGTTTTTCTTGTGTTGTTCAGGAACTTTGGCTGTTTGACGATGCTTCATGAAGTGGGTCGTCTGAAGGGATCCTTTTGAAAGGAAAGAGTTGCAAGGTTGAACAGGAACATAAAGTTCAGGAACAGATGACAACGCAGGAATCCGTGCAGGTTTCAACTTTGGTGACAAAGGTTGAGGAGGTGGCGGTTTCAACGAAGGGTTTACGGGAATCGGCAGTGACGTCGTTGGTTGCTTTGACTACGATTTCCACGTCAACATCGATTTCTCTGACAACTCGTGCGGCGTTGGTATTGACCAAAATTTTCACAAACCGAACATGCAATTTTTCACATTTCGATGCGCGTAATTATTTCCCGTTGGGTTATCATATTTTGTTTGTATTTATAATTATTTTAGCTTTTGCTGGGACTTTGATTTTTCTGATTCTTTGTGTTTATTTTACAAAGAGCTGGTTTGCGGAATGTTTCTTTTTAATTATTTCCCGTTGGGTTATCATATTTTGTTTGTATTTATAATTATTTTAGCTTTTGCTGGGACTTTGATTTTTCTGATTCTTTGTGTTTACTTTACAAAGAGCTGGTTTGCGGAATGTTTCTTTTGGATCAGAGTTTGGTTTGGATTTTTTCCAGCTATTACTCTGAATGATTTGGATGATACTGAATCTAGAACTGAGACAGTTGAAATGATTGAAATCACTTCTGCTGTATGATTGCTTTGCGCTTTGACTGCATTGTGGGTTGCTCATAAAGTTTTTTGTTCTTTGAATACTTGGAACAATTTCTTCAATATAAGGTATGAAATCGATATGTATGTACCCATGGTTTAGAATATATATATATGTCCATGGTAAAAGACAAAAAGGTTTTTGAAAAATAAGCGTATTTGATATAAGCGTTTTTCATAAGCGTATCAGAAATCCATAAGCGTATATTTGTTTCAAACATGTATGTACAAAAATACAAGAGTTCTCATTTTCCTTTTTTCGTGCCAAGGTCTGTTCATCTTTTCTTTCTTTTTCTTTCAATTCTTGATTGTAATGGATGGATACAGGGCACTTGGTGTAGTTTGTCTTGGGACCAAGTCAAATTCAATTCCTTGGAAGTTTTGTCTGACTTTTGGTGCTGTTGGAGTATTTTCTAACAATTGAAAATTTTCTTGATCTTTGCATATTTCTTGAATAGATATTTTCTTTTGGTTAGATTGCATAGCATTTTGATTTGGTAATAAATTGTCAATTATATCATTCACAATTTTTCTTTTTGGGGTATTTTATCATTCTAATACGTATATAGAAAAAATATCCGAGTATAACTAAGATTATTTTTACAGTAATTATTAACGCAATGAAATAATATTGTCCATAATTTTTGAAATGGTTTTCTAGCCAAGATAGATTGAAAATATTTAATTGCTTTTTTGGCAATGGTTTAGTGTAAGTAGATGTTATTTCCACGTTTTCAATATCTGGTATGATGCTATTGATTGGGCCATTAACAAAATGGTAACTGCAATTTGGTTGAAATCAAAGTACTCCAGAATTTCATAATTCATATTGATTAGTAATTAATTTTCCATTTGCATCTTTGCATTCTTGAGTTACTGTACCCTTTGCTTCTGGTTCTTCATGTGTATCCGTAGGGTTAACATAAATGTATTCATCTTTATCTAATTGTATAACTTCTTTATCAGGAGTTTCAATTTCAGTTAAACTACATGCAGATCTAATTTGTGCATTTGTTCTCCCGGCCAAAATAGAAGTTGTACAATTACTCAATGGACGACTCAACATGTGCGAAGGTATACATAACTTGCAAAAGTAGTAGTGTTGCTGTTCAATACATGTTGGTAATTCGTCACTTTCGTATGAGACAGCATTGTTTTTGCTGATTAAAATAGTTGGCAATGTTGATTTTACTATTTTCCACCTTCCAG